AAATTTCATATTCTTTTAGACCAAAATACAGCTTAGTTACTAAGCTAGATAAATTATAATAGAATTCTATGGTATTAATGTAGTAATTTATGATTTTTTAGTTATTCAAAAGTATATATAAAACCTAAAAAAAATATTTTGTTTCATATCCTCCACATGAAAATTTTTTAAAGGCTTGGTAATCTACATCAAGCAGCAACCGAGTACAAAGGTCATAACTAGAAAATAATTATTTGCTTTACTTCTTTATTTACTGTTCTATGTTTTAGGAAAAAATAACTAAGAACTTATTTCAAAATTGCAATAATCTATATACATATATAATAGTATAATAATTGAAATGTGACTATTTTACAAAATACTAGTCAGCTAAAACACAGCCAAGACAAGTTACTTTGTACAAACCAAAGGTCACCCTTAGGTGACGAGTGCATGTGAGCCGAGTCGATTGTAACTTCTGTATTGTTAGCCAGGCATGGATGAAAGGTCAATATAATAAAAATAATAAATATATATAAATGTATAATGTTATCAGATTTAAGCTATTTCATCTAAACATTTATGCTTTCGTGTTATAATTTGTGTTTATTCCAAAATGAAAGAGGCATAGTTTATGTTTATTTCCTAATTTTTTATGGTGGTTGCGAGATCAGTCAAATTTACCAAACCCATACAGAGATTAATTACTGAAAATAACAGACAAAATATAAAGTTTCTTCTTAAGAAATGTTTGATAACTATCTGGACATTATAAAGACTTCACATGTGAAATTTCAAAATTTTCTGATGCATAAAATATTTTTAATCCTAAAATGAATATTACTTTGCATGATAGATAGGCAAGATATTAAAAGAAAAAAAAAGGCATGAGAGAAACATTGCTTTACAAACCTCAAGAATTAATAAAAAAAAAAGTAGATATTTTGCATATGAAAACATTGTAATGTTTGCTGATAAACTTCCAACTTTGGTTAACATTCGCTTACTCATTTATAATGATGACAAAACCTTGTCAAAACATTGTACATTTGCTTTTATGTTAAACTTGTATTAAAGTTTTTTTCATTACCCAGTCAAGCCGCCTCCAAGCATTATTAATCCCAAAGTGGGTTCCTAGTCATCAAATTATCTTGGCTTTGGTTTTCTTGTTTCTATTCAACTTAGTCTCAGTATCCCTGTGACAGTCTACACAAGGTCAAATTCCAACCATGAGTTTCATATTACAGTTGAAAACATTCCAAGGAAAAGCTTATATCATTCACCTCCTCTGATAAAAGACATAACCACTTTCCAAGTTAACCCTACCATAATGACCTACTTACACAAGTAGGTGACGTAACTCTCATTAAATGTCTTTCCAAAAACCAAACTAGTAGAAGAAATTGCTTGAAATTTGATAAGAAATTTAGTTTTCAGAAATATATTTGATTTTTGTTTTCTACTATTTTTAACAAAAATTTATTTCATGTAGCTATTTGCACTCAGGCTCTAAATAGTTCACCTGAATGGTGATTTTTATATGAAATATAAAAATACTATTTTTTATCTTACAGTTTTCACATTTCATTTGCATAATCTCTAGAACTTCATAAATGAATATCAAAGGTTTTTTTAAGGTAAATGTTTATATCTTATTTTCCATTTTCTCTACCATATCACTAACTCTAGATATCATCATCAACATTCATTCCAATGAAATGTTTACAATTAGGAAATAGAAATATGTACATACCTTTTAACTCTGTTAAATAATCTTAAAATATCTTCATTGGGTCATATGTGTAGCTTCACATATTTACCTTTTCACATAGTTCAGTATTAATGTTTTATTTTCCTTTCCAATTCTTTAACTTTTATGATTTACGACGAAATGTCACCTGGTGCCCATGGGCCACCATAAAGTTATGATCCACAGTTTCTCCTTATCCAATGGCAATATGGCTTATGCATGTCTATCTTTTCTAAGCCTTCCTCAGCAAGAGGACGTGTTAACTTTTAAAAAAATAATTAAACCTTTCAAGTATGATTTCTAAAACACAAGTAATACATAATTAACTAAAATATAAAAGTAAGACCTAAATACAATTTAACTGTCAATATAACTATAGCATATTTAGGTACGAGACCACCATTAGTGCTACAGTCGATCAAGCAGACAACAATTAAGTTAACCATTCATGGATGATAGTATAAGCTGAGCTCTAAAGACTATATACACTTATGTCATCTAACTTTATGTACATTGTAAATCTCACGGCAAAGTATATAAGGTGGGCGTGGCATCCTTCAAGGGTCGGCAGAATTTATTACTCTTTTATAGTAACTGCAGCTGAAAGACTTTGTATCTTACATGTCAATAGTTCAAATAGACGTATATTACCATCTAGACACTCTTACAGTACTGCTCATATACAGGACTAAGCATCTGTGTTTCAAGATAGCCCCTGCAATAGTCGAGTTTTCAAAGCATGTGGATCATGTGACTAGAAAACAGTTTAAGCATTTTTTACACATTTCTTTTGAAACAAAGAAAGTAAAACTTAGATAACATAAAAATTCAAATTATAACATACATAGATTGTAAAGTGGTTTAATCAAATTTTGAAAGTAACTCAGTAACATGAGTAGAAAGGAATTTAAATGATATCATTACAATAGGGTTAATTTGTTGCTACGCAACAGTCTTTTCTAAACTTGAATGGCATGCTTATAACCAATAGAAAGAGTAGATTTCCCATGCATTATCTAAAATCTCACATGATGTAAACTTGACTATGAAGGCATACAATTGCTAAGTACATTGTTGGAGATCATTGTATCTAGCACTTGGCTATTTTTTCTTGCCTTATACATATTAGTTTAATAGACAGTTAAATTACACATAGGTCCTACTTTTATATTTTAGTTAATTATGTATTATTTGTGTATTAAAATTCATGTTTGAAGGGTTTAGTGATTTTCTAAATATATGTAAGCTTTGCATCACCCAACTGATGATAACGTTATATCGCTTGAAATGTTTCAACATAACTAACAGGAGAAAAAGAATTGGAAAGGAAAATAAAATAAAGCACCAAAAATAAAATATAAGTGAAAAGGTAAAGATACGAAATTACGCAAATGATCCAAAGAAGATATTCTAAGATTATTCAAAGAAAAAGAAATAAAAGGTATGTATATATTTACATATCTTAATTTTAAACATTTCACTGCACTGTATGTTCATGATAACAGCTATGGTTTGTAATATGGTAGCAAAATTAGAAAATAAAATATAAACATTTAAAAAACTTCTGATATTCATTTTGAAAGTTCTGAAGATTATGCAAGTAAAATGTGAGAATTACAAGATAAAAAATAGTATTTTAATACTTAACATAAAAATCACCTTGCAGGTGAACTATTCAGAGTCTGAGTGCAAACAACTACATTAAATATTCTATTTTGCTGAAATATTTTTAAGAAAGTTTTTATCAAATTTTAAACAACTTCATTCACTAGTTTTATGTTTGAAATGAAATATGACAAGAGCGACATTACCCATGCACAAATCTCATAGCTGGGAGTCATAGGGCACTGGTTTTCACCCAGTAATCTCCTCAAGGTTTTTCTATTAATAATGCACAATTCAATTATTTTAGCAGCATCTGCTTTTCCTTCACTTGATACTTGTATTCCAAAAGATACTCATAATGCAATGACAACTAAATGCTAAACCCATAATTTACAATTTCCTTATGATTTTTAGGCCTACACAGAATTAAAGGGAATATAAGCCTAAAAGTTCTAAATGTAAAATATGTCCAGTCTAAATTTAAAAATACTCAAAGTAAAACCAATAATTCTGAGGTTAATACCCACAAGTTAAAATGTTTTAGTTATACCTTTTGTAAAGGTCCAAGAAGCTTAAGAGTAATCGCAGCCAGGTCTATTCTAAAATTTGAACTTTAAATAAATCCTATGATAAAAACAATTAAGCTTCCAAGTCTTTTTGCCTAAATCTAAACAGTGTTATATTTAGACATACTACTCCCTTTATTTAATGTGAATTTTTTCAAAACTTTTTTGAATACAGGTATATATATATATATATATAATTTTTTTTTTTTTTTAACTACAGAACTTCAGCCAAGGAAGTAGCTAAGTTCCTTTTGCCTTAGTTATCTATTGTTCTGGGTTATTCACCTATGATATTACATGTACCTTCTTGTAGGAAAGATTTCCATAAAGGTGAACTGACTCTGAAAATAGACATTGATATTTTTCACTGGCAGGTCAAGTGATACCTTGGGTGTACAAACCTACCTTAGTGTTCAATGGGGATGGCCAACAGTGGCATGGTTAATGCCCTGGGAAAATTATGGCTTTATTGTTTGGTGTACATATTTTTTTTGGTCTGGAACAGTTTCTTCACTACCTATCAGTAGATATTTCTGTGCATTTAAATAAAGATTGTTTCATTCAATTTTCTTTGTGTCCTGTCTCTTTCTTTTCTCACAATTCAATCAAAAGTCAGAGAGTACAATTTAACTCTGCATAACGTTTTCTTTCAAATCTTCCATTATTCTGTGGAACTTACCCTACTATAATAGAATTTAGTGCAATTTAACATTGTCTTTCAAAACACTATTCTTTCAATGTGAACTATTTTTGTAGATTAGTCCTCCAAGATTTCTTTCTCATGTGTCACTTTGAACAAGGAAGGTGCTGCCCATTTCAACTTTGTTTGTTCCTCATAAAGATACTGTCTAAATCTATAAAAGGATCTGGTTATAATTCATGCATTTATATAAGTGTCACAAGGATCACATAGTCTTAAGTGTGTGTGTGTGTGTGGCTGATTTGGTCACCTATGCATATTGAACATGGCCATGCATTAAATATTTAACTCTAAATTTAAATTATATTTAAAAATAAATATGTTAAAGTACACATCAATTAATAACACTGTACTTACATCTATACATTGCTAGATGAATGCACATAACAGTAATATTTACCTGAGTGCGGTATTGTCGGACCAAAATAATTTTTCCTTCAGCACCCTTACTTTCTTCCTTCTGTTCAATACTGCTTATTATTCTCCATGAAGCTCTTCGAGCACCAATAACGTTCTTGTATGCAACCGACAAAAGGTTTCTTTCTTCAACTGTAAGTTCAACATCCAAGGAAGCCATCTTCTTCATTGCTTCCACCATTTCTAACATGAATTGGAAAAAATACTTTAAGTTACAATACAATTTATTTATAATTCAATTTTATGCTTTTGCAGTATATTCAAGTGAAACTGAATTAATTTTAAAACTATATCAGATAGGTCCACTAAATAATAGGAGATTTGATCAAGATCTTGATTACGTAGTGGTACAAAATCTCCTACCGAGCCAATGTAAGGTAAAGTAATGATACTAGAAAAAAGTTATACACAAATTAACAATTTTTATTATACACCAAACTAGTGGTTCTCAAACTTTTTCATCCATGGACCACCTACCAGTCCTAATCCAACTGCTTTAATTTGTCAACTATAAAAAAAAACCTCATCACAATCAATGACACTACTCTTGATAAGACTTGCATTTTAGACCAGCCCACAGACCACACTTTGAGAACCACTGCACTAAAACAAAAACACTGTAAGTACACTTACAGTTTACTTCAGTGGCTCTTCAGGTGATAGAGGTTATGACCCAATGTATGTTGTAATGAGTATGACCAGTCACGTGGGTAGTGCATGTCATGCTGAGTTAATGTAAGTTTTTTTTGAAACTAAGGAACCTTGGATTTAAGAGTCTGGTGTGCAACATCATTGAAGATAGCCTAGTTGAACTTAGTTGTCAGTAGATGGTCTAGTGATCCAGTGAAAGTGATGGTCCAATTTAAGGTAACTGCTATCAACGTTCTTACACACCATCACAGTGAGTAATGTTCTAGCCAGCAGAAACAATTACCTATTCTGACAACAACAAAGGAACAAAATAACTCAAAACAAGATCATCATACTGGTTTTTCAACCACATGTTAGATGAAATCTGCACATGTTCAGAACAAAGAAAAATTCACAATAATCATTATAATACTACAACAAGGTAAAAACCCATTGTACAGCAAAACCTCAAAATCTAAATACATTTGAATAAAGTTGTTTTTATGGATTATTGAGACTTCTTATAGTCAAAGCACTTTGAACATAATGGACACTAAAATAGAACGTGGTTTTGATTGACAAATATACGGATGCACACCAGTAATGATCATAAACTAGTACCCACTGTGAGTGCAGGTGTCACGTTTTCTAAAGCACATTTTCGAGATAAAATCTCGTTCACATGACATCAAGTTTGCAATATAAGCATACAAGGTCTCGTACATGCCAGCAAGCATTGAGAGACTACAAAATGGCGGCGCTATGTCGCCGAATGTAAACAAACCGTGCGATTGCATAAACGCTTATCTATGGCATGGAACACCAAAATCCGATAAATAATTTTAAAAAATGTGTTTCTCCGGAAGAAAACCGGAGGTTTTCAGGATTTTTTTAGAAGTATACGAATTTCCGGAAGACTTTCATCATTAATCAAGTTAACCACTCAAATCTAAACAGGCATTTATTTAAATTACTCAGACCTACTGGTGCACTATCACTTACGATGTAATGCAGTAACAACACTCTGTCCATGTTGTGTTAAAGGAACAGTACATGAAATAAAGCTGGACAAATCCATTGATTGTTTACAAGGGTCAATTAATCACAATTTCAATTAACCCTACCAACACAGGTTGGGTGTGATCTACCCAACTCGTAACCATGAGAGTAATTGTACTATAATTTTTTATAATGCAAGTGTATCTTTACAAAATTTTGAAGATTATTAGTAAACATAACAAGAATTTCATACACAAAATATCAGATTTGTAAAATAACTCTTATAATTTTTTTTTAATTAAAGATTTGATCATGAATTTTTTTTTCAGAATGTTAACTATCCAATGTGTAAAGTAATTTTCATTTTAGGATTAAAAATGCTTTTCTTTATCTGAAAATTGTTAAGTTTTGTTTGCTTAATCTCTATATCCTTCTCGGTAATCATCAAATGTTTTTTTTGAATAAAACTTTACACCTAATCTGTTATTTAATCAATGCTAGCTCTATATTGTGTTTATATATTTGACTAACATTTTAACCATCATGAAAATTAGAAAATAAATCTAAATTACCTTTTTTTTAGAATAACTGCAAATTGCAACAGAAAACCACAAATGTATATTCTAAGTAGCTTAAATCTCATAACAGTATACATATATTTATATCTATTAATTTTTTGTTTTATTGATCTTTGAACCATGTTTGACTAAAAATACCCCAACACAAGTTGAAAATTACAGGGTGTATGTGCAGCTCATAATACCATATCGTGAATAGCGTAACACACATGATGCTGGCATGTATACCCCCTGAAGCCAGACCAGACTGTCTTCAGGTGAAACCATCATTTACTCCATACATGAAGATGCAGACCACGACCACACCCAAGGAGTCGTGCTACTACTGGCGTCAGACGCTACAAGGGCATTGATGGCATGGGAACCCGTCTCAGCAAGACTTAACTCCAAGGGCAGGAAGATAACCATCATCCAATGCTATGCACCAACCAACGCGGCAGATGAAGAAGAAAAAGAAGACTTTTACAGTTCCTTGCAGTCCCTTTTCGACCGGACTCCAAGAAGAGACATGAAGATCGTGATGGGCGATTTGAATGCTAAGGTGGGAGACGACAACACAGACAGAGAACTCATCATGGGTAGACATGGCGTAGGCACCTGCAACAAGAACGGAGAGCTGTTTACAGACTGCTGTTCTTTCAACGACCTAGTCATAGGTGGTACCATCTATCCTCACAGGAAGATCCACATGAACACTTGGACATCACCAAATGGGAAGACGAACAACCAGATAGACCACTTCACCATTGACAGCAAGTGGAGACGAAGTCTGCTGGATGTCAGAGCAAGGCGCAGCGCTGATGCAGCCTCAGACCATCAGTTGCTTGTGGCAACACTGAAGACCAAGCTGAGATCCTCCTGTGACTCTTCAGGCAGACCACACCATAAATTTAACATTCAGTTTTTGAAAGATGGCAAGAAAAAAGAAGAGTTGTTGAAGTCAGAAACAGATTTGAGGTGCTAACAGATCTGGTAGAAAAGACAATAGAGAACCACTGGGCTGAATTACAGAAGACCTGGAAGACTGCTTGTACCAAGGTACTGGGGAAGAGGCAGAGGGAGCAGAAGGAGTGGATGTCGAAAGAAACATGGGAGAAGACAGAGAGGAGGAGAAGAAAACTGAAGCAGAAGATTAATAGATGTCAGGACCAACAAGTGAAGGGAGACTTAAAAGCAGAGTACTGGGAACAAACCGAGAAGTGAAAAGAAGTGCAAGACACGACAAGAGACAATACATACAAGGTTTGACAGAGGAGGCAGAAGCTACAGCTAGTCAGAAGAACATGAAGAGACACTATGAAATCACACGTGCCTTGTCAAGGAAGAGCTTCAACCCAAGTAAGCCAGTCAAAGACAAACAGGGAAGAAGCATCACAAGCGATGTAGAACAGAGAGCACGGTGAGTAGAGCATTTTGAGGAGATTCTGAACCGACTACCACCACCAGCTTCTCCTGACATACCACCAGAAGAGGAGCCCCTAAGTGTCAACACCAACCCACCAACCAAGGCAGAGATCATCAAAGCCATCAAGTCCTTGAAGAACGGCAATGCAGCAGGTCCTGATGGCATCCCGCCAGAAGTTCTCAAGACAGACGCGGCAGCAGCAGCAGAGACACTACATTCTCTCCTGCAGAAGATTTGGGAGCAGGAGCAAGTGGCCATTGACTGGAAGCTTGGGTACCTAGTGAAGCTGCCCAAGAAAGGAGACCTTTCCCAGTGCGGCAACTGGCGAGGAATCATGCTGCTGTCCATCCCCAGCAAGGTGCTGACTAAAATCATCCTGGAGAGACTGAAAGAGGTGCTAGACAAAAGACTGAGATCAGAGCAGGCAGGATTTAGACAAGATAAATCGTTTACAGACCACATCGCCACTCTGCGCATCATCATCGATTGGCAGTCTCCTCTGTATACGACCTTTGTTGACTTTGAAAAAGCCTTCGACAGCATCGACAGGGAAACCATCTGGAAGC